ATCAAGTAAATTTTGTTGTGTTTGTTGTTTAGTATAAACTGAACTATCATCAAGAGAAAGATTTTCTAATGGATTTTGACCACGAATATTAAGAAGTCGTTTAAGTGATGATGTTGGATCTTCAGTATTATTATTATTATTATTATTTCCATTTGTTAATGGAATAGGTGAAGGAGGAAATGGAGTTTGTTCAATTGTTTTAGGAACTTCAATTTGTCCAAGAGCTGATGCTGATGGAACAGTAGGAGTTGAACGTGATAAATTTTTATGCATAACATCAATAGGTATTTGAGAAGGATAAGAATTAATTAGTTGATTCTGCTGTTGTGGTTGAACAGTAGTATTCGATAATGGTGCAAAACGAGTTGGAGTTTGATTAATGTTAACACGAGATGATCCGAATTGAGGCGTCGTTGGATTTTGTAACTAAAATATCCATAATAAAACAGAATAGACTATGTATATATTTATTAAAGTAACAAATATAGTTTTAAATAATGAATTCATTAATTTCATATATCGAATGGAGACTACTATCGATTGAAAAATATAAGAGAGGTGAAAAAAAAAAAATTTCTATTATGATCATTCGATCTACGACTCTTATTTGTCAGATTTTATCATCTAAAAATCAAAATTATCATTCAACTCAGCATAATAAATTTGCCGTGATTTAATCGTTTTCGCAATATTTCATGATCAGTTGGTTGAAACGTTAGACGTCGAGAAAATTCTTATAAATCTTGCATAAAACGAGTTTGATTTCATGTTTTTTTTTGAGTAGTAAAAATTACAGACTTCTATGCTATTTCTATCGAAAACTATCGATCTACCTTTTATTTTGACATAAATATTAAGCACCTTCTCTCTACAAGGAATTCTGCAGTTTGTAAAATCGTAATCTCTAATACTAATTTTATGAACGTAGCTTCTTTTTCTAAACGAACAGTTCACTAAGCCTTTTTGAATTCATGTTTTAGGAACATATGAGTCCATCGTCTTAAAATCTATTGTTTGAATATTTCATTATTAAAGTTTTTCGAGAGATAGTACGAATTCAATAGTTGAATGTTTTGTCATCCTTTCTTAAATTTCAAGTATTTATACTAAATTGTACTATTCAATTGTCTAATAAAAAAAAAAGTATTTCTATATGAATCATTCGACAAAACAAAAAAAGGTCAGACTGATATATATTTTCCTATCACATAATGAAAAAAATAACTTAAGCAGTAATAATTTCTTTTTCTTACAACAATTGGTTGTTGTGGTTGTCGATAGACATTTGTTGGTGTTTGTTGTTGAACAGATATATTTGATGGTATTTGTCCATTTAATTGTGTTTGAGGTTCGATAGGAACAGAAGACGGTATTGTACGAGCTTGTTGCTGCTGTTGTTGTTGTTGTTCTTCAATAGTTCGTAGAGCTTGAATACAACGAGTAAGAAATGTATTTAGTCGAAGACATTCAGATTCAGTTAAAAAATGTAAACAAAAAACTTCACGACGATCATTACGAGCAACTTCATAGAATAAACGTAATTTGTCAGCATGTTGTACCATATCAGAAGTAATTGGCTGTATAAAATATTTATCTCCATTGATAATTGCAAATGCATATGATGGATATATTTTATTATTAATAATTTTTTGTTTTTCATAGACACATAAATTACCTTCAATATTTGGTAAATTTTCCCAACGTAATTCAATTGAATGATATGAAAAAATTTTAACTTGACCAATACAATCAAATAAACGTGTTGCTTCTCGATCATGTTTACGTATTGCAATACCAATTTCAGTAAGAGTTTGTTGTGATAAACGATTTGTATTCTGCATTATTGATGATGATTGTGAATTGGGTGTGAAAACAGGTGTAAACATAGGCGGTACAGCTGCTTTTGGACGGACTATTGATGATTGTTTATCGTCTAGCATGAGCACATGCAGATGTCGAATTAGAAAAGGATTGAAAAAAAAGAACAAACACGAAAAGTATTCGAAATACGTAAGATGAGAATCAGACCGAGAGAAAGAAGAAAAAAAGAACTTTTGATGAGAGTTCAAAAAAAGAAATAGACAGAACGGATGAAATAGTTCTTTGTTTCATTGACTGTTTCCATTGCATATGATTAATTAAAAATTTGAACTAATCATAAACTTATTTGATAGATGTCGTGAATTTGTTGATCATTGAGATATTTGATAAATTATATTGAATATTTATTCTTAATTAAGATTTAACTATAGTGGATCTCAATTGGTTTTTCCCGCTTTTTGTTTTCTTCATGAGACTTCTTTTATTTATTAACTTCCTATAGATAGGAAGAAAGTTCAGAACGCGCGTTACATCTTTCGATATATTTACGTTGAACAACAAATGTAGCTTGAAAGGTTAATAAAGTGTATTAGAAAAAAATGCGGCATTTTTTTTTCTACAATACAGAGTGCTCATAATATTGTAACATTTTTCATTTCGCATATATCTTGGCTTAGATAAATGATAAAATCTTGAATTTTTTTTCTGAAAAAGATGTGGCGTGAAAAGCTCTATCAAGACTGCATGACTGGATCTGTTCTAATAGTTTTTCTTATATTCAAAATGAATAAGCTACATTACAGTGTCACTTCCCATCATATTGAACATGTTTGGAAGATTTTTCTGATTCGTCATAGAAATTAATCCATACAACTTTTGTAGAGCTTTCGATGGCGCATCGTTTTAAAAAAATTCAATATTCTATCATTTTCTCAAGTCGAGATGTAAGAAAACAAAAAATGTTCCAAACATTTGCAATATGATGAGAGTGATACTGTAATGTAGCTTGTTCATTTTGAGCGTAAGAAAAATCACTAGAGCAAGTAAGAAGGAACTCAATCATGCAGTCTTGATAGAGCTTTTCATGGCACATCTTTTTTGGAAAAAAATTCAAGATTTTATCATTTATCTAAGCCAAGATATATGCAAGATTAAACAATGTTACAATATTATGAACACCAAGTAGTAAAAAAAAATGTCGTATTTTTTCTAATACACTTTTTTAACCTTCAAGCTACATTTGTTGTTCAACGTAAATATATCGAAAGATGCAACGCGCGTTCTGGACTTTCTTCGTATATATAGGAAGTTAATAAATAAAAGAAATCTAGTGATGAAAACAAAAGGGAAAAAACCAATCGAGGTGCACTGTAGTATATTTAGCTTTTATTTAAATTTATTTCACTATGTTTTATAAATCATCTACAAACAATACAGATAAAAATTCAAGCAAATAAAAATATGTTGAACTTTTCAGCAGTGAATGAAAAACAATGTTGTTAACATAAAGTAAAACATTTTATTTTTGTATTTTAGCAATAAAAAACATAAAAATATGACTGATTCACTGCTTTTCAAATATCAGCGCATATTATACCGAACGGTCTAGAGATGGTTTGTCGGCAATCTTTGTCTGGTTTGAATCAGATGGATAATTTTTCTATAATCAATGTATAAAAAGTCTTCTTACAACGTCTCTTATCAATTTTCACCTACATTTTAATCCATTGAGAAGAATCATAGGGAGACCAAAAACGGTATCTATATAAAATTGTTCCTGTGTAGTACAGTTTTTGTATTTGATGAAAATCTTTTTTATACACAAGATTGTAGAGAAAATTCAAAAAAAATGATTTGTTTTTCATAATAACAATAATTGTTCAAAAAACGTTGATAAAAAAAAAATGATGAACATGTGTTTGTAAAGAGAATCGAATTTTGGTTCTAATTGACTGCTTTTCAGGTTCTTTAATGATACTAAGATCTCTAAAATATGAGCAAACACATTTATCAATACGCTTTAAGCTAATGTTTTGTACAAACATTGGTTTTGACTGTTATTCAAGATTTGTTCTCAATAAAATAATTTCAAATCAGAAAAGTACTTAATACCTACTGAGAGAGAATATGAAATTTTGATTCTAACTAATTACATTTAATTTTCTTTAGTGACTAATAAATACATAAAATATTCTTCAAACATGTTCGAGAAAAACTTTGTAAACATAGAGTAGAGCATCAAAAAAAAACTATAAACGAACAGTATATCAAGTTTGATGTGTGAGTTATTCATTGGATAAATTTTATATCATGTACTCTACAAAAAGAAAATTAAAAAATCTTTAATAATCATTGAGTAGTATTTTATCAATTAAGAAATAAGACTAAGTTTTTTTTTTCAGTAATTTAAGTATGAAGAAGCTGAAACTTCTTATTTTCAGTAGTTCTTTTCGATGAGATTATTTCTAACGATGTCGCTAACATATTATTAACTTATTTTCGCAATCATCAGTATTTTTTGTAAAATTATAATAGATCTGATTAGTATTTTATGAATACATTTTTTAATTAATTACTAAACTGATTCTTTTTGTCTATGTAGCTTTTTTAGAATCAAGGTCATCATCGTTAATAAATGATCAATTGAGAAAAAGAAGTTGTTATAGTACGATCTATGTAGAATTATAACATGAAACACTAGTGATCTACTTATATATTATAAATTAAGATATTCTGCAACATAGATTTCAGTTTAGAAGATCAAAAGCATTGAGGAATCTTCTCTGATCATAAACCTATAAAGGGCTTTAGTTCCAATTATCTACCATTATACTTTAATACTTCTTTTGCATTTTAAGTACAAATCTTATCTTTATTATTCATAGATGTAGTTTCTTTAGTGTAGGAAAAAGATCAGGTTTATAAGAATATGTGATAAATATATTTTATATTTTGTAAAAAGTAATATTCGTTGTTTGATGATTGATAATGTCTTATTCGGATTCAGTGTTATGATGTAATTTTCTACATTCATCTTTATATTTGTACCAACAATGAGCTGGAACAAATTCAACAGTATCACAATTACCCCATTGAGAATCCATCCTCATCCACTTTCTTCTTTGATCATTAATTTTTGAACTTGGCTACGAAATTCTTTTTGCATCTTCAATTTTGTTCTATGCATTTGGACCAAGATATTGAATAATTTTATTAAGAATAGGTTCTATCATTAAACAACCGTCACTTGCTTCATTTAAAAGTACACGAGTTGAATACCTATGAAGATCAATAGGTCTATGAGGATCAACAATAAACAAGTTCAGAAATGTACGACGAAGATCTTTTTTTTTTGTGTTAAGTTATGAATTTGACGAAATCGATGAGAAATTTTATTGGAAAAGACGATAGCCGCACTAGTACTTTATCAGTAGGAATTTTATACCATGGTTGTAGTGCATGTCTACGACAAAATTTTAGTGCACCACCTTTCAATTCATGATCGACATGGACATAATAGACACCAGTTGCGATAATATTTTCTGTACTACTTTCAGTATACCATCGAACAGTATATTTCATACCTAAAATTTGAATAAATATTATCTATTAAAGTAGAAAACATAAACAGTTTTCTCATGAACCTACTTTCAAATTATAACTTTGAGCTTTTATAATAACTTGAAGAGTATTTTCTAGTTGAGCTAATTGTTCAATTATTTCTTTCTTTTGAAATGTTGGTAACATTCGTTCGAAAATTTGTGCTATGTCTATATAAATTTGTTCATTTTCAGATGTTCTTTCTAATTGTGGAATAGCTGTTGTGTTTATATAAATTTTGACATTCGTTTATACGACGTTCAATCCATACATCACAATCAAACTAATAGATCTGGATCAATAATATCTTCAACTGATGATGGTTCATCTTGTCTCTGTTGATTGAATTTGTGTAATGCTTTAACAAGTTATTTGAGATATTCTTTAAAAATCAAGGACTTATATTTATTCAAACAGGATATTCAAGATAGTTCTTCACCTCTATCTCCATATTTACAATAACGATCTTCTGTTAAACGATAAAACCTCTGAATGAAAACTTCATTTTGTGTTTTTCGCGCATGCCATAATAATGTTTGTCTAAAAAAAGCAAATGACTGTGTAATTCCTATTTATACACATTTTTTTGAATACTTTCTTATATGCAATTATTTGCAATATTATTATTTATTCTTATGAAATCGAAGATCACCTGGAAATGATTCATTGTTATATTGAAGTAATAAGATCTAAAAGTAAACAGTGCTTTTTTTTCCTTCTTTACATAAAATTCAAATATTATAAATATTAAAAACAATCGTAACGTCATATCAAAACACAATGTATCTATAAAAATCAACAAGGTAGATTCAAAGAGGTTAAAGAACAAGTTTGAATTAATTAGATTTATTAAGTTAATGACTCAATATCGTTTATCAACAAATTAAAACAAATACATAATTCAAAAATTTTTTTTTCTTTATTTCAAATCATATTTTTCACCTCGATTGTTTATCTACACTTGAACTAGTGTCTTGCATAGGCTTGACTCTTCGTTAGTGAACTCTGACTTAAGATAATTGATATTCGATAGATACTTTCACAATCACAGTACAATTTTCAAACTTTCATTTTATATGAAAAAGCATATTATGTAATTGATTCCATAAAAAGAACATCAACAAAAAAAAAAAGCAAGTGATTCAGGATTTACTTAGTGTCTACTTCTACAATTTACCAGGTATGATGGTATACCTGGAAATGGATGTAATATATTTTTTATTCATGTCCGACACCGGAACTGATCCGATTGCGGAAGTCTAAATTTAAATATTTGCTCAGTTTTTCCTTGAACAATCTCAAGATCGATTATATAAATGCAAATCATGTTGGAAGATCATCAAATTTTGTTGAATTTTAGACAAAAAATTTTATTTTGGACAAATAAGAACCAAAGCTCGACAATAGAATGCACTAAAGGGTTCAAAAGAAAAAATAATGTCTTACAAAAAAAAAGAAATACAAAATCATTTCACATTCACAAATAGTAAAAAGTTTTAAGTCAAGGCACATATTTTCCTTATATTTTAACTTCAGGTAATGTCATTTGTTCTAATCGTTTACTAACATTTGTCATAAATGGCATTTTAAAATCATTAAAATCAACTTCCCAACCAAGACGATCACGTACAACAGCTTTTTCTTGCATAAGTTCTTTTGTTGTTGGTAAATCTGTCCATTTTGTTTTTGGATGAAAAGCAATTGATTCTGTATTTTCAAATGATTTAGCTAATTCAGCAGCAGCACGTAATAATGAACCACGTCGTGGTTGTTGAGTAGTTGCTGTTTGTTGAACAGTTGTTGCTTGCTAAACAAGAAAAAAACAAACATAAGATGAAAATGTATGATTGATTTTGTTTTTTTTTTTATTATATAAATTTAATTACTGCATCTGGTTTGGTAGTTTTTGCTGCTGAGTGTTGTCGTTTCTTTGCTGATGCTGATCCACTTTTTTTTCTTGTACCACTTTTAGGTTTATTACCACCGGTAGCATTAACTTTTTCATTAATTAAATGATATATACGTGGATCAGCAAATTCAGCAGCAACTGTTAATGGTTCTAAACCGGATATATTTTCATGTGTAACTTTAGCACCTTTATTAATAAGATATTCGCAAACTGGAAATGATGAACATTCAATAGCACGCATTAATGGTGTTGCTTTTGTTATTGATTCAGCATTTATTGATCCACCAGCTTCGACAATGGCTTGAACAACATCAAGAATACCACTATGTGCAGCATGATGAAGTGGTGTCCATTTAAAATTATCTATTTTATTAACATCAGCTCTAAATATAAATGATTGAAGAAAAAAAAAAAAGGAAGACTGAAAAATTTCTTTTTTTATTATTGTTGTAATTTACCCGCATGTGAGAAGAAATTGAACTGTTTTTAAATCACCATGAGCGCATGCTAGAATTAATAATAGGTTTTATTTTTTGATTACGAAGAAGAAGAAATATTACTTACCCACCATTAATGGTGTTTTCATAAATTTGTCTGTTATATCTACTGATGTGCCTCGTTTAAATGCATCCAATAATGTTTGTAAATCACCTCGATATGCTAGTAACAGACAAAAAGAAAAAATATTATACATTATTAATAGAATTTTCTTTTTATCTAACCAGCATCACATAAATTAACATAACCTTTATCAGGTTTATCTAAATACCATGGTGAATCATCTTCTAATGGATTTTTCGGTAAATTATCTCTTGAAAATCTTGTATTATCTGTATGATGAATATGTTGTGGTGCATAAATTATTGGTGGATTACCATTTGCTGTTCGAGGACCTTCATCTTGAATAGCAACTATGAAAGAAAAAAAAAAAAAAAAAAGTTATTTTATATTTATTTAAAGAAAAATTTTTTCTCATTAAATAATAACTTACTTGGTAAAGCACCTTTTTGTTTTTTGGCTTTTTTTGGTTTCTTCTTTTTTTTCTTTTTTCCTGCAAATGCAGCCATTAAATAAGGTTTTGTTAAATATTTTTTTCCAGTTAAAAATGCTTTATAATCAAATTCATTTCGTTCTTTTTCATGTTTTTCACAAATATCTTTAATATCATCTGGTTTAAGAAATGAAAGATAAGTTTCATCTTCAACAATTTTTTTAAAACCATCTGTTGGTATAACACCCGTTTTTGGTTCAGCAACATCAAGTTCTTCAAATAATTTTTCAAGTTGTTCTTGATTTTCATATACATAATCATAAAGCATTAATTTCCAATCACGAAATTCATCTAAATATTTACCAAAAAAAAAAATATAGATTTGAAAAAATTATTAGAAGTTTTCCAACTGAGGAGTCGCGAAACGATTGTAGAGAGTCATTTCTACTCAAATTCGATGTTTTTTTTGTTTTGATTAGAAAGGAATAATCACCCAAGTCGACAAGTACGGGCCGATTCCGCCAGGAAAACAGCGAAAGTCGCCGGAACAGGGTAGCAGTATTCCGGCCGGAAAATTTTTGGCTTTTTTCCGGTGACTTCCGGTCAAATTTCTCACGTTTCCTGCAGAAAGTTGTCCGGAAGTCACCCGAAAAAATCCGACAGGAATACTGCCATCCTGTTCCGGCGTTTTCCTGCAAGATTCTGTGGGATCCGGTGACCGGAATCTTCGACCTGGGCAAGAATAGAACAAGGTCAAAATATATTTTACTAATAAAAATATATCGCATAACTAAACTCGATATGAACTGTAATGTATCAATACAGTTATCACATAGGATTTTCTATCCTGAAAACAATTCGAGTGCTTAGAATAAAGAATTTTATTTGATGTCCAAATATTAAAGTGACTATTTTCAAAAAAAATAGAAGACAAAGTATTATCTTCTGTACATATGAATTATTTTATTTGCACAGCAAAAACTATTCAAAACGTTAAAATATAAGATTTATATGTAAGATATATTTCTCTTATGTTCTAAAGTGAAGATAAGAAAGTACATTTTTAATCTTTGTAAATCAATAAAAATTAAAATACTTCATAAAACCATGTAACATTAAGTTAATGATCATCAATAAAAAAAACTAAACAATACAATCAGTGATATTGACAAATATCGTGCAATATATTATGTACATGAAACTTATTGCATATAAAAATTGATAATAATCATTATACAACTATCGGAGAATGTTTGAATAGAGAGTATGAATTTATGAGTTATAAAAAAGTCATAAATAAATTGTGATTTTTACTACATAGAATGATATGACTATGGTAACTAAACGTGTGTGTGTGTTCCTTATGTGAAACAAGACTTTTCTTTAAAAAAAAAACACACATACTAATGTTTCTTTCATATAAAATAGATTTACCTGGACGTAAATTTGCTGTCATATCATTGTAACCTTTTTCTGCTTTTCGCATATTTTTCTTTGCATCTTTTGCTTTATTTTGATCGGCGATCTTTTTTGGTATAAGTCCTTCGAGATTTTTAGTTTTTGGATTACAACCTAGAAAAAAGAATAAATATATTTATAATTATAAACAAAACTAAAAAAAAAACAATTTATGAAACTTTTCTTTTATACCTCGTTGACCCAAAAATCGAATTGCAGTACCAGCATTTGATGATGCACCATAATGAATTGGATTATTACCAAGTACATCATATACATCAAATTTAGCACCATAAGCCGATAAAACTTGAATAGCCTAATAAAACAAGAATATAATTAAATTATAGAAAAAATTAAACAATTGAAAAATTTATATTAAATAACCTCAAAATGACCACCTTTTGCTGCTTCATGAGCAGGTGTTGATTGTTTATGATCTAAAGCATTTGGATCAGCTTTTGCACGTAAAAGTTCTCGTACAACTTTTGCATTTCCTGATAAACAAGCATTATGTAAAGCTGTACGTTTTGTTTTCTATATATTAAAAAAAAAAAGAAATTTTTTTTGTTTTTTTAATAAAAATTAATTCTTTTTTTTTTTACTTCATCAACAAGTTGAACATTAGCTCCAGCTCGAATAAGATCAATACAAAAATCTTCTTGTTCATCAGATTTTAAACAAGCATGTACTAAATTTGGCATACCATTACGTGCACGATTATTAACATCAGCACCCATTTCAATTAATAATTTTAAACATGCTTTATGACGTTGTGTTGATTCCGTAAAA